TAAGCTCATCCCGATGTTACACTCGTCAAGAGCTTTCATTTGAGTACCCACATGCTTTTTGATATATTTTTCATATATACATATATGTAATATATATAAATATATAAATATATGAAAAATTGATATGGGTACTCAAATGAAAGGTCTCGATGAGTGTAACATCGGGATGAGCTTATGTCTTTAAAAATGTCAATATTTCACAAGATAAACGGTAATTTCTTAATTATTGACATTTTTAAGGATATAAGCTCATCCTGACGTTACACTCATCAAGAGCTTTTATTTGAGTACTCACATGGCATTTTTATATATTTTTCATATATACATATATATAATATGTATCAATATATATAATATATATAAATATATATAATATATAAAAAATTGATGTGGCTACTCAAATGAAAGGTCTCGATGAGCGCAATGTCAGGGTGAGCTTATATCTTTAAAAATTTCAATAGTTCACAAGATACAAGGTAATTTCTCAATTATGTATCTAGAGATACATAATTGTATATCATATGACTATCCTGGAAACAAAATTTTTTTTATTCCCTTAATAATATAGATTCTATTAAATAATTAAATTATAAAAAAATTAATATGATTTTAAAAATTTTTCCACATTAAAAATTTATAAAAATTCCAAGTGCTAATTCTGTAACAAATAAATTATAAAAAAACACGTCATATAAAAATTAAAATATCCAATTTTAAAATAATATTTTTGTTAAAAAATTATCAAACTCTTGCCAACTAAACTGTCATAAAATTAACAACTGTTAAATTTAAGCGCCAAAAAAAAAAATCCTTTTGCGCATGCGCAGTAAAAAAAATCCTTCTGCGCAGGCGCTAAAAATTCAAGGTCGCCGGAGAAATTACAACGCGTATGGAATCTAATAAAAATACAGGAAAACACCAACAAACTATAGATATATTTACACTCGACACACACTCAACACTCAACTGACTAACACCAACAATCATAAGATAGAAAGCAAGAGCAAGAGGAGCGTTCAGTGGACGGTGCACGGTGGCTTCGTAGAGTAGAGGTAGAGACTATCATTAAAAACATTCACTATTATTTCTTAATTTATTATTATTATTATTATTATTATTATTATTATAATTATTAAAATTATTATTATCCCACAGATATTCCCGTTTCCGTAAAATTTCCACTTGGCACGTTCGCACACGGCATTCGGTCGCATGATGGCGCAACATGTAGGTCGTTCACGTAAATCGCCGGCTTTTTTATTAATTATTCTCTTTATTATAAACTCAACAACAATTATTGACTCGTCTGCACTGCCAAGAATTAATGGCGACAACACTAAGCCGGTAATAAATTCTGTTAAATTAATAACTAGTGATTATTATCATGATATACTTGTTAATAATAAAAGTAACAGTAATACAATAATTAAAAGTGATAGTTATAGTTATAGTTCAAGTGTTGTTGCTGGTAATGGTGAGAGTGATCAAGATGCTGGTGATAAATATTATTTATTGACAACTGGTGTTAATTTAAATAAATTAAAACATATTAAGTGGACTCCTGACAAAACATATTGTGATATTAATATTAATAATAATAGTGGTAATATTAATAATTACGGTATAAATATTTGGAGTAACAGTGAGGGTACTAGTGCCATTTTTCAGTTTTATAATATTTTGGAGGTTACCAGGATTTACTTGTGTCAATTAGACACTAATTTTCAAGGTGATGAACTGCTCCAAAGAAAATGGAGACCAGTTGAGGACCTGCTCGTTCATTTGTAAGTATTGTACAAGTCAAGTATTGATTGTTGCTTTTTTTTTTTTGTTTTTTGGAACGAAGGATAGGGTGCTAATTGTGGCGGGAACTTTGACGGAATTAATGAAAATTAATTTGATAATTTTGAGAATTTTATAACAAAGAAAAATTGACGTGTAGGTATTTTAAAAAAATAAAAAATGCAATTTTTTTGTTAAATAATATTAAAAAATGGTGAAGTGACAGCTAACTTTAATATACGGAATTATTATTTTTGAATATTGTTGGAGAATTTTTGATATTTAACAAAAAAAATAGTAACCTTGCAGTCACTACGTGACTGCAGTGAATTGTGGACAGTAATAAATGAAATTTTTAATTACTTTTGTGAAATTGCACTGTATTTTCTTAAATATCGACGATTTTAAAGATATAAGCTCATCCTGATGTTACACTCATCAAGAGCTTTCATTTGAGTACCCACATGCATTTTTGATATATTTTTCATATATACATGTATATAATATATATTTTAAAGATATAAGCTCATTCTGATGGTATACTCATCAAGAGCTTTCATTTGAATACCCACTTGCATTTTTGATATATTTTTCATATATACATATATATATAATATATAATATATATAAATATATGAAAAATTGATGTGGGTACTCAAATGAAAGGTCTCGATGAGTGTAACATCAGGATGAGTTTATATCTGTAAAAATGTCAATAGCTCACAAGATAGAAGATCATTTCTTAAATATTGACATTTTTTAAGATATAAGCTCATCCTGACGTTACACTCATCGAGACCTTTCATTTGAGTACCTACATCAATTTTTCATATATTTTATATATTTATATATATTATATAAATATATGTATATATGAAAATATATCAAAAATGCATGTGGGTACTTAAATGAAAGATCTCGATGAGTGTAACATCGAGATGAGTTTATATCTTTAAAAATGTCAATATTTCACGATAAACAGGGTCATTTCTTAATTATGTATCTCGAGAGAGAGCATTTTTAAATGCAGTCCAAGTATTTATCATCATAAATTGACTACTGGTGAGAATGATGTGAAACCATGAAAAGGCATAATTATTTAATAATTTTTTATGCAAATTAATTTAGCAGATATTTGATAATTTTTGTAACAATTAAATTATAGTAAAAAAATTGACATGTAGAAATTTCAAAAAATTAATAATGCACTTTTTTAAAAATAATTTTTTGGAACAAATTTGTTTGTTGAATAAAATTAAAAAATTGTCAAGTGACAGCTAACTTTAGTGTCATTGAAAAATTCCATCTTTAGAACGTCTAAAAAATTATAAATGAGATTTTTTATATGATCTAAAATTAAAAGACATTGATCAGTTTTTTGGATTTTTATAACCCTGATATTTTTATGAAAAAATTCCAAATTTAGAAATTAAAAAAATTTATGAGTGCAAATTTTGTTAGAAAATTTTTCTTATAACTAATTATTGGTTTTATTTTATTTTTTATTCTTATTTTATTTTTTTTTTGGTATTTATTAAGGAAAATATAAAATTGTTAGATGTCTGCTGATTTCATTGTAATTTTAATTCACAAATTTTGGAGATGTTTTACGACGTTAGACATGTAATGATGTAATTGAAGAAATGATCTTGATTATATACACCGGAAAAGTTAAATTTAAGTGATACTGAAAATAGCAAACATCCGATAATTTTTCTGTTTTGACTCATCAAATTAAATTAGTTAAATTTAACAAAATTGAGTTAAAAAATTCTTAGAAAAAAATTTTTTTTTTTTATTAATTTATTAATTTTTATTTTTAAAAAAATTCATTAATTCTCATTATAAAAAAAATTTATTAATTACATTCAAATTTATTTAATTCAAATTATTATCTTAATTTAATTAAAATTTTTTTAAAAATAAAATTATCAAAATAGGTATAATAAATTTTATTAAAAAAAAAAATTGTATTTAAATATTAGAAATTATTTTTTATTTAAAAAAAAATAAAATTTTAAATTATTTAAAATTAAAAAAAAATGTATTAAAAAAATTTAATGTTAAAAAAAAATATAATATTAAAAAAAAAATCTAATATTTAAAAAAAAATTATTTAATTTACATAAATTAAAAAAAAAACTAAAATTAAAAAATATTTGAATTATTTATCAATATATATTATTATTATTTATTTATTTATTATTATAATAAATGTAAGCTTGAGGAGTCACGACAAAGTAATATTTTCAGATAGTTATTAATTTATTAAGTAAAAATGTTGGCGTTGGTATCGGGAATAGCCGGTGAGATGTAGGCCACGATATCTATTTTTACTTACTCAAGACTTAACTTATTCATGTTTGGACCATACTAACTAACTTACCTAAATTATTTATTTACGTACATAAATTAAATATATATATATATATATATATATA